TTGGCATGGGTTTCTCTCATTCAATCAAATGCACTATTTAGCCTTCTTGAAGTATAGATTTCAACCGAGCATATATAATAGTTATCATGTTATTGATTGTTATTGACTTATTGTAAGGCATACGATTTTACTATTTAATCATGATAAATTAATATAATCGCAAATAGTCGTGGACTTCACTGTTGCTTGGTGTGGTCCATGTCGATTTATTTCTCCATTCTTGGCGGACTTAGCCAACCTTTCTTAAGTTGGATATAGATGAATTGAAGGTAAAATGTAACATAATTTGAGTTCAATTTTAGGAATTATAATTTCGAATTCCAGATAATTGATTACAAGATTTAATGCTTCATGTCCTTTTTAGTCAATGATTGGGCTGTGGAAGCAATGCCAACTTTCATGTTCATCAAGGAAGGTAACATGGTCGATATAAGGTTGTTGGAGCTAAAGCAAATGAATTGCAAAATGCTATCGCCAAACACATGGATAGTGCATCAGCCTAATATTCATTATTTCTATGTATAGACGTATTCATGTATGTATCGTGTGTATGTACACACACTAATATACGTACGTATGTGGTGATAGAATTTATCTTTGTATATGAGCAAGAAGTAATTTAAATTTTAAGTCTTGTAATGAGCTTTGGGATTAATTATCAAGTTCTTGTTTAAGTATGAAGAATGAAATATTTATGTTGTAGTAATTTGACTTGTTTTCTCTTCTTCAAAAATCAATTTCTTACATATTGGTCTTTTTGTCTTATCAGTTTCAGAATCCACAGATTATGTCGTAAAATGGTAAAAAAATATAACTTGATTCTTATAAAACTTATGCCCAAAAAGGCAAAGGGTTCTCGAAATTTATGCCTAGCGAAATTAGATCATAGAAATATATACATTTTATGCTGCATAACTTAATTTCTACAAAATTTAGAATGAGCATGATAAACGTTCTCTAAATTTATACCTAGCGAAATTAGATCATAAATAAGAATGCTTTGGTCCACAAAAAGGTATTATGATCGCTGCGATCTTTTATAAAGCACTTAAAATAGAGAATTTATGATCATACAATCATAAATTTTTTTAATCTCATTGAGAAATTGATGCCTTGCTTCATATGTCTTAACACAATATGAAAATATTTATACTTCTTTTCATCACATATAGAAATATGAAATCAGCATAAACATGTAGTACACTAAGCAACCCAAGATGAACTCGATATATGATGATGATTACAAAAGAAATACATATAATGGATACACAATAATTAATATTTCTTGTTAATTAGTAGAGGTATATCACCTCACTCAAATTAATAAAGTGGAGATTATTATTTTAATTATTAATAAAAGGCCACTAGACGTCTGTCTAGTGATATAAAAAAAAATTTGTTAAAAAAAAGTCTATATATTTTAATTGTTTATTATTCTACAGTTCTTCCTAATCTCTCCCCTCAATCCCGTTAAAGGCGAAATATTTCCCATTTTCACCATAGATTTCGCGAACTGCTGGAAGAAAATCTCATTATTTTGAGCATACAATGTCACCAATTGTAATGATGCCATATTTTGTGTCACAAGAACTTGATCTGAATTCAACAAACCCCTTAAAACCAACAAGTTCTTGAAGTAGTTGTTATCAAATTTTGTTGGTGACACATAATCCAAGAAAAATAAATTTTGGTCACCTCCAAATCTTGGGCACATAGTGCTCAATTGTGCACCATAAAATCTATCTAAGGAGTAATCTGGAAAATAGTAATTCCCTGATTGACCATACAGTCTTTGTTTGAAGCTGATACATCTAGAATCTCCAATTGTGTGGGCCCCTGCAAAGAATACGCACCGACAGTGTAAAGAAATTTCTAACTAGTTTATTTTAGGGACTTTTATATGAATTGCTAGTCAGACTTAGTGTTTACTTTTTTTAAGCTAGTATACATAGATTATATATTCAATATACATGATATACGTATTACACATGAATTATATGTATATATTATACATCTGCGGACTAATTTTAATTTACTCAGTTGGGTAGACGTCTATTTAGGTTAAATAAGTAATACAAGTGATGTGTCGTAATAGGATAAAATACAGTGTAAACAAGTTGCATCTATTTTAGTCTGTTGTAATTAGTTACTTGCTTATTTTTTTTAAGTTACTAATCTTGATTAATATGGATGGTTATATAGTGTTATCTTTTCGATAAATTAATAGTGTAAATTTATTTGTCTAGTGCATACAAATTAAAGAAGTGAGGGATGATGACAAGCAAGGGATTGAAGAGTGGTTAAAGAAAAAGTAGTATTCCCTTCGTCTCCTTTTATTTGATTTTATTTAATTGAATATAAAATTTAAGGTATAATATTTTTTGAAATTTTTCTAAACAGTCAAATATATTTTATATGTAAATATATTAAAATGTATTTATTTTTGTGATACACTAAAGATATAATGTGTCATATAAATGAATAGTTAGGGTAAAAAATTACCTGACAAAGCAACCAGATCGACAAGATCAAGTCCTCTTGAATTGAATTTAGTGAAAATAGTATCAAATGTGTTATTGGGAGCAGGAATATCATTGTTGGAACCACTTAAACTAGCCTCTCTTGAGTCTCTTCTTCCCAATGGAACCTCCCAACTTGGTCCACCAGCCTGTACAAATAATAATCGAATTTAAGTTTTATACATTAATAATATAAAAATAATTATATAGTCAGATTAAGATAATTATAGATACCCTTTTGTTTTTATATTAATAATAGAGACAGTTTATTTGATTAGATATGTCACTGAAATAATGTGATTTTGTTCTATCGCTCTTTTCGTTTTGGATTTCGAGGATGAGTCAATTTTATGTTTATGAATTCTCTTGCCACGATTCCACAACTTATCTTGATTACTGAATTCATAATTATATTTCTATATATTTAACAAAAAATTTAATATATTGATTGTACAAGATTTAAATAAAAATTATTGAATTCGTTCAAATCGGTAGTAAACTATTATTTAGTCAAATTTATTATATTTGCTTGGCATAAAGTTGTTAGTACTTACTAAAACAGTAGAATCTCTTGCAGCAAGTGCTAATATATCAGCACAAGAGACAATTTGAGGGCATTCCTTTTCAAGTGCACATTTAATCTCATCAATTACTTCAAATCCACGTGCCGAATTCCTATTGGCATTTGATAATTTTTCACTTATTATTGTTCTACTGCTGTCCAAAAGCAAAGATGCATCACAACCCTGCATGATCATAGTATATAATGAAATATCATGGAAAATATTTAATAAGTAATCTACTGAATGATTATAGGTTCGAATTTCTAATCTAGCAATTTTAACCTTTAAATTCAAAACTTATAATAAAAATAATAAATTGTGATTCTGGTTAGGCTCAAACCAAGATCACAAGGGCGGATGCACTAGCCAATACCAGCAGTACCAAGTGTCATCTTATGCTTTCCATGGGTGCACCATTTATTATATTTAGTTTTTGTCAGTTTCTCAATATAGATATACATATATATACATGATTTTTTTCCGAAGTTAACATGTACACATGCACCCCTATCTATCCCCGCTGGGTCTGCCCCTGGGAAAGAATCAATCAATGTAGACTGACATTTGTGAAAAATATTTTTTGACTCACTAGAAAAGTCATTTTTTCATACATTACAAAACATACCAGATAATTTACGTACCTTGACAAAACAATCATGAAAATGAAGCCTCAACAAAGAGGCAGCCATTCTTGCTTCTTTGGCTACGGCCTTAGAAACAACAAACTTGACAATTTCTTTTGCTTTAGGGCATGACAAATCATAAAATTGTGGGTCCAAACAACCATAAACATAATATTTGGTCTTGCAAGACAAACATACAAAAGCAACAAGAAATAAAGTCCATGTTATTTTAGCCATGATGACTAAAGCTCTAATAATTAATCAAGGACTTGTTATAAATAAAAAAAAATAACTTTAACATATCAGAAGATTGGATTTTTATAATAAAATTGAGATACAATGAATGAGTATATATAGTGTTCAAAGGTTGAGGTGTCCGTTTGTTCTTGGTAGCTTAGAGTATTACGTGACACAACTGAAAGTTCGAGAGTCAATTTAATTTATTTTTTTAACAATTTATTTATATAAAAAATATTAATTATCGTGATTTATAGCTATTACTTTTTAAGTAGTGTTTTTAAATATATAAATTTTATTTCAGAAAAAAATAAAACTTTAAGTTTATATGTCCGAATTCACAATTAAAATTTAGAAGTTTTGAATTTCGAAATTTCAATTATGCCATGCCAATTTGAACGTAATTGTTGTTCATTTAGATTGGATTTGTACCTTTTGTAGTAAGAATTATAAAAAATAATTTCCACAATACCTTGCTTAGTAAAGTAGAAGTTGTGCTTTATAAGTAATAAAATAAATAATTAATTTGATCCGTCTTTATTCATCTACGTCTAATTTTCAAATTTTAGTAACTCATTTTAAATGCATTCTAGATAACCTTTACGACTCCATATCTTACTAATTGAGTTGATATATAATTAAGTCACGCAACATTTTTGAGAAAAGTCTCGCAATAACTTCTTTTTTACTATAAATAACGGAAAATTTATATTGTTTAGCTAAGTTAAAATTTAAGTTTTCCATCGTTATATGTTGACATTGTCTTTTTTTTACGTGTGTCCAATTTTTTTATATTTTGACACCATTTTATAAAATATATGGTCAATTAATATAGAGTATTGTTATAAATACATATATTTATTATTATCACTAAATCTATTAAAAAATGTTAAATACACATTTTAAAACCTATAACAATTAAATTATGGACATAAAATACCATATTGAAAGATGGTAAGTGCTTCATATGAAACAATTATTAACATTTAGCACACCAAGATGAACATTGGTACATAGGATGATTACAAATTGACAAAAAAAAATTAAAAAAAAAAAACATTGAAAAATGATAAAATAAAAACATAAAAATTACATCAAATAAAGACACAATAATTGAACTCTCTTAGTTCATTTTTCTACAATTCTTCCTAATCTCTCCCTTATGTCCCATTAAAGGTGAAATATTTCCCAATTTCACCATGGATTTCGCGAACTGCTTGAAGAAAATCTCGTTATTTTTAGCATACAATTTCACCAATTCTAATGATGTTTCATTCTTTGTTACAAGAATTTGGTCTGAATTCAATAAACCCTTTGAAGCCAACAAGTTCTTGTAGTAATTGTTATCAAATTTTGTTGGTGAAACATAATCCAAGAAAAATAAATTTTGGTCACCACCAAATTTTGGACACTTAGTGCTTAATTGGGCAGCATATTTTTTATCTAATGTATAATCTGGTAAATTTTTGCCTGATTGATTGTAGAGTCTCTGCTTGAAACTAGTACATCTTGCTTTTCCAATTGTGTGGCTCCCTGCACAACAATTTCTTCTAGTATTAACTATAGTAAAACAAGATTTAGCGACGGACAAATTTTGTATCTAAACAGTAAAAATTTGTTGCTAATCCTACTTAGTGATGGATTTCTCTTAGCTACGAGGAAATTAACAATGGACTAGCCAGCGAGGAATTCACGCTACTAAAAAATCACTATTTTTTCACTAAAGAATGTTCAGTGTATGTTCTCATAGATATTTTGATTGGATCTGTGAGAAAAGAAAAAAAAAATAGTAATGTTTTCATATGAAAAAATTAAGAAGTTTCTCACTATTTCAATGAGAATATGTTTTTCATCGTGCATTTTTCTAATAAGTTGGTTTGGTCGGAAATGAATAGGAAAATCGTGTTCTACAACAAAAATTTCTCACTGATTCACAGAAGGAAAAACCTTTGTGTCTAATAGTGTCATAACTAATTCCTATTTTATAGTCTGGATAAAAATTAAAATAAATTTAATTTATATATATTGATAATAATAAAAAAAATTTAAAAAAGTTGGGGGGAAAATAAGTGATTAAGGGTGGTTAAAGAAAAATATTAGGAGTAATTTTTACCAGATAAAGTAACAAAATCAACAAGATCAAGTCCTTTTAGCTTGAATTTAGTGAGAATGGCACTAAATGTGTTGTTTTGAGCAGGAATGTTATTGCAATTGTTGGAGCCACTTATACTAGCATCTCTTGCATCTCTTCTTCCCAACTTGGTCCACCAGCCTGCATAAATAATAATTGGGTTTAAGTTTTATATACTAATAAATAGCATAAAATAATGCAACTTTTTCTGTACCTATAATAAAGGCGGAATCAGGATTTTAGGGATCATTTGATTATCGAAATGGGATAAATAAAAATATTTTGTGAGATTAGCTATTTCACCTTCTATACAAATAGCTAATCCCATCATTTTTGTACAAAATGAATTCTAAAACTAATTGAAATCAAACTCTACACAAATTCATAACTCATCTTAATTACCGAATTCACAATTATACGTTATTTATACATATTTAATAGATTTATTGTTCTCATATATAAGTATAAAATATAATCAAAATTCTTAATTGATACTCTAGCTCTGTCCCAACTACTTTTTGTTAGGCTTAAAGTAGTTGTACTTACTAAAACAGTAGAATCCCTTGCAGCAAGTGTCAATATATCAGCACAAGAGACAGTTTGAGGGCATTCCTTTTCAAGTGCAGATTTAATTTCATCAATTACTTCAAATCCACGTGCTGAATTCATATTGGTGTTTGATAATTTTTCACTTTTCAAGGTTCCACTACTGTCAAGAAGCACCGATGCATCACAACCCTACATAAATAAAAAAGTTTGATCGAATCGAAAATACTTAAAAAGTCATAAATCGGAAATATTATAAGTCAAAAAGTACATATAATTTGATTTGACTATCTAATTATAAGCTTATTTATACACCCTCTTATTTTCTAGAGAGTAGTTTTTCGATGTTTAATTAGAGAATAATGGAGAACTTTTTCTTGTAAAAGGTATGAAAGATTGATAACAATATCAACAAACTTAATAGTGTTTGATGGAACTTTTGAGTATTAATTATTAAAAATTAATACAATAATTTGAAGTTATAAAAAAATTATAAAAGCAAATTTACCTTCCCCCAAAAGTGAGGGAAGTCATTTTCCCCACTTTTGTTGAAATTGTTTCTTGAGACATATTTCTGACAATCCAATTTGGAAAATGACTTATTATTTGAAAAAACATTTTCAATCATAAACAAAGTACTATATATTATTGATTCGAGTAAAAGTAATAATATCTACTCAAATGCTATCGTGGAAAGTATATTGATGAATCAAGAACATATAATAAATATCTTTACTATGGACACTTCCTAAGTGACACATATGAGGAAAAATGTACCTTAACAAAGCAATCATGAAAATGGAGTCGTAGCAAAGAGGCAGCCATTCGGGCTTCTTTGGCTACGGCCTTAGCAACAACAGACTTGACAATTTCTTTTGCTTTCGGGCATGACCCATCATAAAATTGTGGATACAAGTAACTATAATTATAATTGGTTTTGCTTGATAAACATAATATTGGTGCAAAAGCAAGAAGATATATGATCATAAAGAATAAACTCAAAACTTTAGCCATGTTGACAAGTTCTAATAAGGACTTCTTATAGAAAAAAGAAGCTTTAATATGTAATATGATACCTTGTTCATGAGTATATATAGTGTACAATGAGAAATATACTAAGATTTCTTCTTCTTTTTTTAAATTCGTTGTATTGAAAATGGGAATCATTTCAAATAAATTATATATCAAAATTAAAGACTTGAAATATTAAGAGGATTTCATATCTAAATTTTAAAACAGTTTAGAGGTGATTTTGAGCGAAATATCTTCTTCTGCTTCGTCATTATTCTTTGTTTTTTTTTTTTGTTTTTTGTTTTTTAAATTGGACGTACCGAAAATGTGAATCATTTTGAGTGAATTGTATATCAAAAGACTTGAAACATCGAGATTATTTTATATCTAAATTTTGAGACTGTTTATAGGTGATTTTGAGTTGATCGAAGTTGAATAGTCATTGTATACTTCATGTATAATTAAGCTATCTTCAGCCTTTTGAGTGTATCATAATGTATAGTCAATATATAGGTCATGTATAAGTAAGTTATATTGTATAGTCCGTGTATTTTGACAAGTTATATTATATAGTTAGTGTACACTCTCTGTGACTTTTAACTATTTTTTAATATAAATAAATTATAACTATATTTATTATGAAGTAATTACTTTATTATATATCTTTGAAACTAGCCCTACCTGATCCCCACCAATCCATTATGGTGGCTTAAAAAAATATTAAAAATTAAAATTAAAGAGTTATTAAAAAAAATAGACTTTGCTTTTAAACGTACTAAAAAGAAAATTAAGAGAAATAAATCGGAGCGGAGAGAATACTCCGTTATTTATTAGTTTTATTTTCTCTTTCAATTTGTTTTAAAAAGAAAGTTTCTTCCTAATTTAATATTCTTTTTGTTTATTTTTATTTGTCCACAATAGACTTTGCACACTCAATTAAAGTGTCAAAACGCAACTAAAGTATCTCAACTTTAGGAGTGTCATATACCTGAACTATCAATGTGTGGGTTTTTTTTTCTTACCTGAATTGAAAAATAATGTTTGTTAAAAATAATAATATATTTACTTTTTAAATTTTTTGAACCAAATGTAACAAAATCAAAAGTATTTAGTTTTTTTGAAATTTATTTTTGGACCAACGTATTGATGTAGGGCATTATTTATTAATTTCACATAATTTAATAACATATTTTTTATCTCATTTCCATAATAATATTAATAATTAAAGTTTCATCATGTCTTTTAATTTTTAATTATTTTTTTTTTGCACATACATGTGTTGAAATAAAATATGAATTTTCAAATAGTAATATTTCATGGCATAACCTTCCAAATTGCTGAATAAGTGCTGAGTAAGCTCATTTGTCACCTTTTGAATTAGGCCCTTTTTCAAAGACTATACATAAATTATTAGGTTTTTCAAAATTAAGTTTATATATATATATAGAGAGAAATAATATTCATAATTCGATCACTTAAAAATGTTGATACGTATGTTTTCTTAAAATGCGAGACTTGTAATCTCAAAAACAAAATAAATAACTTTCTACAACAACTGAAGATAATTTGATGGTGTAAAAAAATTTACACTAAAAAAAAAAAAAAATACTTTCTTCCTCTTAAATAATTTCTTTCTTCAAATAATTATTATATAACCAAAAATATTTAATAACTATCAACACTTATCAAAAAAATATGATTACCACGCAAATATGTTAATTTAATTATATAGTGAAAAAAATATTACATTAATTATATTATTTGATGAATTTTTTTTTTGTTTTGTTTTAAATTTGGCCCCGATTTAACACCGACCTCCCGCAATTAGTTAATCATATGCAAAAATGCAACTAGAGATTTTATATTATTTTTGTTTGGTCAAGGCTGTCATTTATCTGCACAAGATTGCACAAAATGCAAAGATAGATCCGAAAACTTTTATAATATTATTCTTTTCGTTTTAATTGGTTTATCTCATTTCTATTTGACACAAAATTTTGAAAAAATCCAAAACTTTTGTATTTATAGTCTTGAATTAAAGATATGTATATTCTTTAATTTTGTAATTTTATGTATGTCAGGTGAAAAACTAAAATTAAAAAATTATTAAAAAAATAATTTTTTTATATGAACTAAAAAAAGGTATGAGAAACAAATTAAAACAAAGAGAATTTTCTGTTTCAATTAATTTGTTTTATTTTCTCTTTCAAATTGCTTCTTTCTAAATTTTTTTTGTGATTTTCCACCCGGTGTTCGGTATCCACATTGGAGTTCGACTAACTTTGGATTCGCACTAGAAAGTCCCACATTGAGGGGTAAAACGCTCTCTCACAAATACGACTCCATACCAAGGCCTTTTCCTAATTTAATATTCTCTTTAGTTATTTTTTCTTGTCCATGATAGACTTGCACACTGAGCAAATGGTCAAAAACATATATAAAGTATCCCAGTTTTTTGAGTTACATATCTGAACCATCAATGTGTGTAAGCTTTCTATATAAATTGAAAAATAATGTGTTTAAAAAGAAAAGAAACGATATGTTAATTAGGAAAATGATATAATGACCCAAAAGTAATAATAGAAGCATTTTTAGATCGATATATTGATAAGTGCATATGTTAAAGATTTATTTATTTTAACCCTTTTTCGTAATAATAATAATAGAAGTTTCATTATGTCTTTTAATTTAATTTTTTTTTTTTGCACATACATGTGTAAAATTCTTTTATGAATATAATCTAACACTTCCAAATTGTTGAACAAGCGGTGACTAAGCTCATTCTGTCACTTTTTGTGAATATAAACATGGATACCTCATCTAATTAATACTCCATCTAAACTTGTGAGGCTAATTAAATTTATTTATTACTCCACAATTAAACTTGTCAGTCCCATTTGCAATTTCTTTTCTCTTATCACCTTAAAATACCATTAAAGATTCCTCATAAAAATCTAATTATTTAAGCCCTCACATTTAATTTGTTTAATTAACATAATCATTTCTTTAGAACAATGACACAATTTGCACAGCCTGTGATCCAATACTCTGTATAAAAAAATCCAAGCCTTGCATTCTCTCTATAAGTTAATCTTCTTTGTTTATAGTTAATGTGGATAATCTTGGAAAATTTTATAGCATTCACCTAAAATCACAAGTAAATCATTAGACAGTGATATCAATGTATAAGAATGATCGGAATACTAATATTTATCCATGGTAATACTTGATCGAAGAAGACAAGATCTTCCAAACATTGAAGATAGTTCTTTGTGATGTTCCCTATCTGAGATGGAGAGAAATAAAAGAACGTTGTCTTTCGATTTAGGGACCATGCTTATTTAAGGATTCTAAAGTACCATTTTTAGGTTGGAAATGTACCTTTTCAGTAAGTCTCCATCAGACTTAAGAAAAGGTTTATGAATTTTCAAATTTTCTAAAATAAATTCATATTAATATGTATTTACTTTTTAGATCTGAAACTTTAATATTTTATTAGATCATACAACGAGCTCTTTTATTAATAATATATCTATGTATAATATGTTAATATGTGAGTCCACAAAATAGAAATTACTAACAGATAAATATTCTACGAAAGAAGATTACATTTATAAAGCAAAAGTCCATGCTTTTGTTTTTATGATATGCGTCTCTTTGTAAAAGCTTTGACAAAATGGAATTTGTATCGCGTAGAGTTCAACATCATATTCAGTGAAATTTCATTAGTGGGATATAAAAATAGTAGAGTGTACGCATATTTTATCTTTATCTTGTGGGGGTGGAGAGGTTATTTTAGAAAAATTCTCGACTCAAATGCAATAAATCAAGTAGAAAAAAGAAACAATGAAGAAACATAACAACTAATAAGGAAAGAAGTGCAAATCTTACAAGAGAGGAACAATAACATAACAACAAAATAGTGTGAGAACTGAACTACAATAAACAACTACAGATGATGATAGATATAAAAAACAAGACCTACAAGCATATGGTTAATACCTACACCCATCAAAAATCAAGACAGCACTTCACTACCTACAAATCTTTTCTATCATAATTTGTGACCTCTCCACACCCCCACCCCCCCAATCTAAGATCATGTCCTCAGTAATCTGAAATTGTGTCATGTCATGTCTAATCACCTCTCCCTAATACTCTTTTTGACCTACCTCTACCCTCAGAGGCAGAGTTAGGTGCGGGTTCATGGGTTCGGACGAACCCACTAGTTTTTCGTAGACCCTATATTTGTATTAGAAAATTAAAATTTTTTTATGTATATTAACTTGTGAACCCCCAAACTCATAATCTTGGCTCCGCCTCTGTCTACCCTCTCTCCTTGTACCCACTATATCCAACATCTCACACCTCCTCACTAGGGGATCTTCACATCTTTTCACATGCTCAAACCATCTCAATCTCGCTACCCTTAGCTTGTCCACCACGGAGGTCACTCTCATCCTAACTTGTTCTTAATATCCTCATTTCTAAACTTATCTCGTTTAGTATATCACACATCCATCCATCTCAGGATTCTTATTTTTGCAACTTGCAAAGAGCCCGTAAAAAGAAATGAATGTGTTCCCTATTAGAAGTTTTGTAATTCCCAAAACGTGAAAACGGGATTTTGATCAATGATGGAGAAATTCATACATTCATCAACTCATCTTTCTTAATCATTAAATTTGTTTTATTCAGCGGTAGTAAATATACATATTAATAAAGAGTGTTAAAATTTTTGCAAACATAGTTAATTATCATTAGATCAATATTGCTATAGGTTTTAGAGACATTTACAAAAAGTGCTAATTGCCTTTAAAAATAAATATTTAATGACAATTAAGTTTTTGTCGCTAATTAATTGCCACTAAAAATTAGTTATTAGGTAGCAACCTCATCACCTTTATATGAAATTGCTCCCTTCTTCTCAAATATCCTAAGCTCTATAATTGAAAAATTATAACTCTATTATTCTTTCTTTGATACAGGAAAAACAAAAACTAGGTATAATTTTTTTTTCTTTTAT